GCAGGGAGCGGGCGGCGGGACGGGGAGCAGAGCGCGGTGCCCGGGGCAGGGAGCGGGCGGCGGGACGGGGGGCAGAGCGCGGTGCCCGGGGCAGGGAGCGGGCGGCGGGACGGGGGGCAGAGCGCAGTGCACGGGGAGCGGGCGGCGGGACGGGGAGCAGAGCGCAGTGCACGGGGAGCGGGCGGCCGGGCTCACCCGGAGCTGCCGGCGGCGGGGAGACGCTTCCGGGGCTCCGCGGACTCCCAGGCCGGACTTCCCAGCCCAGCGCGCCGGCCGGCCGAGACACACTGCGCATGCGCCAGCAGCCTCCCCAGCCTTGCAGGACTCACGGCGGCCGCCAGGGGAGCCCGCTGTGCGGCGCCGGCCTGAGGCCGCGCATGCGCAGCCCGTCCCCATCAGGGGCGCCATGCACGGGCGGCCGCAGGGGGCGGGGGGAGAGGCACAGCCTTCAACGCCCCCTACTGAAGCAACCTTGGGGCGGGGGGAGGCAGAGTCTGGGGGCTCCAGGGCCTGGGCATATTGCTGGGGCCCGGGGCCCCCCTCCAGCCTAGTGCTGGGGCCGCCCATGGTGGAACACACACAACAGCTGAGCCTGGCCCGGTGCCCCGCATGCCAGGCTCCCACCAGCGCCCTGCCCCATCACAGAACTCCTGGGTCCTATTCCCGCCATGACCTCAGGGACCCATTTCCCCTTCTGTACAAGGGGGAGAACACAGACCCATCTCACAGCTGGGTTGTCTTTTTGTCTGTATTACATTTCCTACGATTCATAATTGTAGTTGTATTCATGGAGATGGGCCCCGTTTCTCACTCCAGTTTTGCACCAGATAACCTTTGCTGACTTCACTGCAGCTGCTCCTGATTTATGATGGTACAACTCAGAGGAGAATCAGGCCCAGGATCTTTTACATCTGATCCTGCCACTTATTCCCCACCTGAAGACATGAAACCCACTGTGACATCAGACTCATTTCCCCAGCCTTTCACTGTGGTTTTATAGAGAGGATTATGCCTAGGTCTTCACTGCAAAAAATAGGCTTGTTTTTGCATTAAGATAGCTATTGCAACGTAAAATCCTAGTGGAGACAAGGCACTGGTAGTTTTTACCTCGATGTAGCTTGCTGGAGTCAACCCTCTAATCCCAAACTGGGGTTAATTTGGACTAGCTACATTGATGAGCTAAGGATAAAAGACAGGGAAGGAAAATTCAGTAAATGACACAAGCAGAACTGTCTGTAATTTGAACATGTACCTGTTTCCCACAAAGTGGCAGTATGGGTCTCTGAGTGAAAATGAGGCCTGTGTTTCTGCTCCTATGGGCAAAGAGACCATGCCCTATGTACCACCTCCTCCTATGATGGCTTTAGAGCAGATGAGCCAATCTGTATGCATACCAGCAGTTCTACATACAACATCCTCTCCTTCCAGCTATTAATGCACCATAATATTAATTAGTGTGGGGGAGGGTTGTGACAGCTTTATGAAGAATATCGTTACATTACAAATCACTCACTTATTGAGGGTGGGGCTAAGTCTCTGTGAAGAGTAAGGAGGAGCAGAGGGATGGACAGGGTATATGACACAAATGAGCATCTCTCAGTGCAACAGATGGTTCTTCCTCTTAACTGAGTAATAACTGTGCCCTGGGTAATAAACATCTCAGGATGTCTGCCCAGGATGTAGTTATTACCTTGTAAACAGGAAGTATCCTGCAATTATCTCATTATAACAACAAGCCAATGCTCTGGACTAGTCAGAGCATTCTGAAGCCAATGAGTGTAGAGTAACTGTGTGGGGGACATCACCCCACACTCTTCCCTTCTCCAGAGCTTAGAATGGCAACTGGTTAAACAAGTGCATTACTCAGTTAACACAGTTCTATGTTTCTCAATTATCTCAGGGTATGTCTACACTACAGCAGCGACAGCAGCACAGCTATGGTGATTCAGCTGTGCCACTGTAGTGCCATAGTGTTATTGCTTCCTGCATAAATAGACAGGGGTTTCCCATTGCTGTAGGTTAGCTGCCTCTCTGGGAGGCAATAGCTAAGTTGACAGAAGAAAAGCCGCGTCTACGATGGGGGTTAGGTCGACCTAACTACGTTGCACCGGGAGCAAAATTTTTCACAGCCCTGAGCAATGTAGTTAGGTCGATCTAATTTTTAAGTGTAGATTAGGCCTCAGAGTTATTCCCTAGGACAGATCGCCTCATCTTCATAATAGGAGATATGCTAACCGTTGGTATTTGAGGTAGGGCAGGACTGAGCTAACCCTACAAGCATTGATTCAGGAAGTGAAGACAGGATTAGTGGTCTCTGCACACCAAAACCCCCCCAAAAAAATTCTTATTGCAAACAAACCCATCCACCCCAGCACAGCAACCTTCCTTCATCTACATATTCATCCTTGTGGCCCCTTTTTCTGCTCAGCCATTGGCAGCAGGCTCCTCCAGCCCCAGACAGGGAGCTCAGATCCTTCACACTAGCTATAGTGCTGTTATAAAGGATTCTGGGCCACGTTCCGAGAATCCTAGTACCTGCTGCAAAGTGAACTGCAACAGAAACTCTCCAGAAGTGTGGCAGGAAGTGCACTGAAGGAGAAGAAAGGCTTGGGACCAGCCTACTGGAGAGTAACCACGCCAGCTCTGGTGCTAATCTGCTATCACCCTTGGAGCTATTCATGCTTAGCCTGTTCCTTAGGGCACGTCTTCACTACCCGCCGATCCGGCGGGTAGCAATCGGTCTATCGGGGATCGACTTACCGCGTCTAGTGAAGACGCGATAAAATCGATCCCTGATGGCTCTACCGTCGACTCCGGAAATCCACCGCGGCAAGAGGCGGTAGCGGAGTCGACGGCGGCGCGGCAGCAGTCGACTTGCCACCGTCCTCACAGCCAGGTAAGTCGACCTAAAATACGCCACTTCAGTTACGCTATTCACGTAGCTGAAGTTGCGTATCTTAGGTCGACCCCCCGCTGTAGTGTAGACCTAGCCTAAGTCTTTTCCTGTTGTGTGGGCATGTTCCTTAAAAAGATAGATACATTTTTAAATTCTTCTGGCACATTCACAACGGTTCAGAAATCTTATCTAATGCACCTTCCCCAGAACAACCGTTCTGGTCACTTGTCCCTATTAAAGCAACAAGCAAAAAATAATAATATTTAACCATCATTCAAAAGAAAATACACCCCAGTCACTTGGCTGCCAATATCAAACTACAGCCTGCAGAATGAAACCAACTGATTTCTGCTAGATACCTTCCATCAGATCTCTTAATCTTCTAAACATCAAATACGTATCAGAGGCCTGCAAGGCCCTGACCTTGCAATTGGATCTGCGGAGTCAGGCCCCTATGTCTCCACAGAGCCCCACTGAAGTGTACTGGTTTATGCACAGAGACAGTAGCCCACCTGCATGGAGGCGAGTGCAGGATTGGGGCCAAATGAGCACCAAATGACCAAAATTCATTAGAAGTCATTTTGATTTTTACTTCCGACTTCAGGAGACACGTAGCCAAGAAACTGAAGCACCAATACACAACATATGATGATTTATAAGTAGCACTTTCAACAGTCCCTTCTGCATCCAGCCCACTTTCAAACTATTATGAAGTCTGGGCTGGTTATCTTCCCTTGCAAATGTGGTTACCGGTTTTACACCTTTAGAGAGAAAATTAAGGTAGCAATACAGGGTTTTTTTGTTTCTTCAAGTTTGGTCTTGGGTCCCTTCAATCCAAGCATAAGACCAAGGTCAAGTTCAAAGTTGATGTCAGAATTTGGGTGAGCAAAATTTAATGACTATTCAGTTTGCTGTCACTTCCTCATTCAAAAGCCCATTCACAACTTGGTTGACTGCCTTACAACTAACAACCACCCCGAACTTCCTGCAATTAGAATATATCACCCTACAAACAGGTTTTCTTATAGCATTCAGAGATTGCAGAGATGGTTAGATACCATGGTGATGAGCATGGTATAAAATGAACTAAAAGGCTCCATCCCCCTCACATATGTCCCTAATCACAGTTTTTTTCCCTGACTGAACACTTTAGAGATTTACAAATAATTCAGTTTTAACAGCCGAGCAGTAAGTGGGAAGGCACAGGCACGCTTTGGCAGGATTGTAGCTATTAAGAGTTCAGTAAACTAGACTGAATGAATGGCTTGTCAACCAGATATACAGTTAATATCTAAATTAGGGTCCCTACCTGTTGTATGCTTTTATTAGTACCATGTAGGAAGAAAAGACCCTAAAGATCACACCATCTGACAGACACTGGCCAACAGATTATTAGATATGGTACGGCACAACTCCTGCCTGTGCAGGGAGAAAGGTATTAACGTCCTCCCTGACACACAGTCCCAGAGAGAAAGCGCTGCATTGTCCAACCTGGCACACAGAGACCCAAATTGTGGCTCACGCTCAGGGTTCCTAGAAATCCATTTGCCACAGAAAAATGTACAATTTGCATCTTTACAGAGAATCTTTAGTTTTTACATTTTGTGAAAAAATAAAAACATATCCAGCGGAACTCCGTTTATCTGAGCCTCCGTAATCCAGCTCTCCGGATTGACCAAACCAGGGCTGACAGCCCAAGACCCGCTGCCCAGAGCTGAAGCTTTCCAGATTATCCAAATTTCTGATTATCCAATCTGGCCCCCGTCCTAATTAGAGCGGATAAACGCAGTTCCACTGTATTGTGGCTAGGGAAACTAAAGTTCAGCATTTCATTTTAATCGCGGGAAAATGCAGATTTTTATGTTTTTTTAATCAGAGAATTTGGAGGGGGGGGTTAATCACGGGAAACTAGGATCCCTGCTCATGTTTCACCCAGCACCCACCTGCATGCAGAAGGAAGAGTCCCCTACCATATTTTCAACACACAGGCATGTGCCCTTGCTCTGCCTTACACACAGCCTGTCCTCATCAGAGTCCCAATGTTTTCAGCACCCAGAACCAGACATTTCCCACTCTGCCTCCCTCTCTGCAGGCTGTGACTTACCTCCTGGGGCTCCCCAGCTGGCCTTCACTGGGGTCTCCACGCCTGTTAGTGTGTTAAGTGCTGGGATTAATTCCTTGTACAGGTCCAAAACAAAGCAGCTCCCCTGTCCCAGGCCCTGGACATCTCTGCACAGAGCATGTCTCTCAGGAGCACACTGGGAAGTGTAGTTCTTAACCTCTCCTGCAATGTAGAACAGAAATAATACGAGTCAGCTACAGAGCCAGCTGGATACGCAGAGCTGTCTGGGAAATGTAGTTCTCGAGGGTCGAGATGACAGGCTCTTTCGCAGCATCCTCTGAGTTTCTGGGAAATGGAGTTTAATGTCTAATTAATAATAACTGATGCTATTTTTAAAGCCCAAATGTCCTCATACCACCCTCCGTGTTGCAACACACTTAAAGGGCAAAGGCAACTTAAATTTGTGCCCAACATTTAAACACTGTCAAAGCAAACTTTTATAAAAGCTAAGACCAGTAGCTATGTTTGCACCATTTTTTTTCAGTTCCAAAGGAAACAGCCGGTTTTAAACAAATGACCCTTCCTCTTTAGTATTTGCAACTCACATTCGGCTGTCAGCACCTGAAAGTGACGTTGACCATAAGTGAAAAAAGAGAAGCTGATTCGGTTGTAGGGTGACCAGATAGCAACTGTGAAAAAACGGAACAGGGAGTGAGGGGTAATAGGCGCCTATATAAGAAAAAGTCCCCAAAAATGGGACTGTCCCTTTAAAAACGGGACATCTAGTCACCCTATTCGGTTGGTTTCCATTGTGCAAACTGGAAGATGTGCAGAAAGTAAACAAACAGCACAAATAGGGACAAGCACTTTGGGGTTTTTAAATTCTTTCACTTCTGATCATCTGAGGTGTTACTAATACAAACAAAGAAATGTATTTCCTTGCAACATATATTTTTGTTACTTTAAAACCATAATAGAATAAAGGTGAGATTGGGAGAGGGACTCCAATGTGAAAAAGAAACAGAATGTAGACATTCCAAAATAAATATAACAGTAATAATACTTTGCATAGCTCAGAGACCTCCACCTGAGGATCTCAAAACATGCTGCTGAATTTGGCCTCACAGCACTTGAGTGAGGTACCTACATATTGCCACAAATCGGCAGTAGTGTACAGCTTCCTGATTGTCATTACGCTTAGCACCATGGTCACTTGGAATTTCACAGCTACATCATACACTTAGCTGACAATAATCTCAATTAATCCAGGGCTGCCCCTGGTTGTTTAAATCTGTTCTTGGAAAGGCCAGTCTCCGCCAATGTTCTGCCTTCCTGTTTCAGCACACAGGAAGCTGGCCTCCGGCTGGCTGGGAGCGCTTTCCCCAGTGTTGCTCATCTGTCCTCACCACCTGGCTTGCTAGTGTGGAGCTGGGATGGAACAGTCAGCTGGCGGACTGCAGGGATGTCAGCTGGAGCAGCTCCCCCAGTGACTGGGGGAAGAGAATAGGAGGGTTGCAGGGTGAAAGGTCTATCTCCCCTCCTTCTTCCCCCTGCCGGGAAAGGGTGACAGCACGGAGAGACAACGGGAGAAGCCCCCAGGTCTGGAATGCCCCATTCCCAAATGAGGGAAGGAGGCAAAGAAAGGAGCAGCCAGAGCTCCTCTCCTCCCTGGCCAAGGAGCAAAGAGGAGAAGTTGGAAGGAGCACAAAGCCCCTTGCTCCAGGAGCACTGGGCAACCTCAGCAGCTTGGCTTGTTTCCATAATTAGCCACGGGAAGCCCCTGAAATGCAGGCAGCCCTGAGCTAATGTGGGGATGTGACAGACCACAGGGGGCTCCTTCCCACTTCCTATCAGTGCTTGGGGATACTATTGTGGCAATTCCAGAAATGGGGGCACCGAACAGCTCTGGGTTTATCTTTCCTGAGTCCTGGGTCCCTTGGAGTGGACACACAGCCATGGGGATGGCACAGGGACCCTACGAACATATCCAGGTGTCAGGCAGCTCTGCTGGGAGAGCCAGGAGCACTCACCTTTCAAATCATGGGATCACAGAGGTTAGGGAAGGAAAATGCCAACCCAGTCAGACCTGGGGGCCCAGGGCAGGACTGGCCTCTACTGTCCAGCTGTGAATGTGCCGACCCAGTGTTAGGGACTCCCACCCTTTCCCTCTGGGAATGTCCCCATGGATTCCCCCACTGAGCAGAGCTCACTGACTGGAAATGTTCAGAGACCCACTGTCAGCATTTCCTCCTTTAACTCCTCCTGGTGGGGCCCCTTTGCCAGGTCTGCCAAGTGTCCCTCACGCATAGGCAGCCCCACACTGCCCAAAGCTCTTCATGGCCTTCACGCATCCCACACGGCTGCAGGGATTCCTCTGCAGCAGCTTCCCGCACCTGCGGTGCAGGGTGGCCTTCCCTCTCCTTGTCCCCCCAGCTGGCGCCCAGCCATTAGGGAGGCAGGAAGAAGGACATAAGAATGGCCCTAGTGGGTCAGACCAATGATCCGTCTAGCTCAGTATCCTGTCTTCCAGCAGTGGCCAATGCCAGGTGCTTCAGAAGGAGTGAACAGTACAGGGCAATTATCAAGGGAGTGCTCTGCTGCTGAAGGCACCATCTTTCCCATCACTTATAACACCAAGGCCCAGCATTTTGGGGCTCCTAGTTCCAGAGTCCCAATTAAATTCCAGTTGAGTAATTACTTCATCTCCGCTCACACAAGTGAAGTAGTTTCGTTCCTGAATGGGAGACCTGCAAGGACAACCCAAGATGCTGCAGGCAGGTGTATTGAGAGCTCGCTAGGTGGCACTCTTCTCTCATAGGGAGGATTGAACCAATGCTTCAGTAAGGTAGCAGGCTCGAGAACTGTCATTGCTGATCAGAGGAGTTTTGGGAGGGCCACTGATCTCATTCTCCAGCTCCATATGCCCATACCCCCATGCTCGCCAGACTCCGTTCAAATAACAGGTTACAGTTTGGGAGGAGGGTTTAGCTGCCACCAGCCTCCTGCTGAAGGAAAAGTGGGGCCCATCAACTGACGCTGGGCCACACTTAGTTACTAACATTTGAACCTGTGTGCCAAGACAGTTCTGCAGACAAGCCAGGGCCCTGCACGGTGAGGGATACTCTTCCTTTCCCTCCAGCTATTTAACTACAGAATCCAGACTAGCCGGAAATATTAATATCATTTAAGTGCTCAAAACAGCCAGCACATCATTCCATCTTCAATGTGGAGCTCTAGGATGCCTGCCAGGAAAAGAGAATAATGAAGAGGAGAAGAAATAAATTCAGTCACTTCTCCAACCCAGATATTATTTGCTCTTTCCCTCTTCCCTTTCCTTATTCTCTTTTTCTTTTCTTTCATCTCCAGTTCATTCTATGCACCTCCATGCAAATTCTGTACTTTTTTATTTATTTATTAGCAGATCCAATAAATTGCTCCAGAAACATTTTTGTAGCGCTAACTTTACAATTCCACCAAGAACAGGCATGGTGCACTCACATTCCAATGCATAAGCTGGCCTTCAGGAGACCATACACTAGGGAGGTGTCTGACTAGTACAGCAGCAATTTAACGATTTCGCCCTTCAGTATTCACAGAAAGTCCTCAATCTCTGAGGTTCCGTGGCAAGGGATAATTCTTTCCCATCAAACTCCAGGAAATTCCACCAGGTTTCTAGATAAATATCCTTTTTCCTTCTTGCCCATAGAACTCTGAGTTGATGGGTCAGCTTTTCTGATGTTACCCATACTTTCTGGAACCAGTCACTAGATATAGAGGAAGTCACATCTCTTCCACCACCTTGCAATCGTGATTCTTGCTGAAAATCACATACAGGTAATTGGTTCTTTGTAGGTCTTATACAGTGCAGAATTGGGGGGGGAATACCCTGCCAGGTTCTTTGATCATTGGCAACCCATTGTTTCCTCAATGGAGTCTCCAATCTCTTTTCAAAATATCCTAATTTTTAGACAGGTCCACCATGTGTGAAGAAATCTGCCTGTTTCTTAAAGTCTTTCAAGCATTTGCCCATCCCCATACCAGAGATGCATTTAAGTTTAAGGTGGGTTAAGTACCATTGGTAGAGGATTTTAACATAGTTTTCTTTTATGAGTGTGCATATTGAAGTACAGGAACCGCTGTTCCAAATACTTTGCCAATCCTCGTTCTTGATCTCCGTATCCAAGTCTGCATTCCACCTTTTTACGAACATGTGTTTTTTCTCCAAGAAACAACTTAAAATATCTTTATATAAGGTGGAACGTAGACCCTTGTGTTTTATAGGTGTGACAAGTAATTTTTCAAAGTCTGTTAATTTTATGCTTAGGTTTGGTTTCTAAGAGGATGGATTGAAAAATGTCTCAGTTGCATGTATTGGTGCAACGGAACTTTAGTATCTTTTGCAAGCTGTTCAATCTCCTCAAAGAATCTAAATGTAGCTTCTCTGAATAACTGGCCAAATCTCATAATACCGATATGCTCCCAGGCTTTAAAGTTTCCCAGAGTTTTATTAGAGTTGCATTCTGTGATAACTGCTGTGGGCGTTAGATGTGATATGGATGGGCTTCGTTTTTGTAAGTGTGATCCCACACCCCTATTGTTGCCCTCATAAAAAAGTGGCTAGATATTATTTTGGCCTTAGAGAGATTCTTTATGCAAAGAATCCTGTGGAGTTTGATTACAGGACAATGTGTCTGTTTTACCGCTATCCAATGTTGATTAGAGCTTGGAGGTATCCAACACAGCAAATTTCCCATTTGGCTTGCCCAATAATAATGTTTATTATTTGGCAGCACCAGTCCCCCACTTTTCCCAAGGTCTCTGTCGGCTGGCCTGTTTGACCCTTGGCTTCTTGTGTCCCCAAATTAATTTATCGTCTTCAGCAAGTTTCTATGAGATAATGATGTATTGCACCCTCACAAAGTTGTGTGTGTGCGGATGCTGTAGAAATGTGAGACAATTAACAGTGCTAGCGAGGAGGCTCCAGCAGTGCCGGAAGATAAGAACCCAGCAGCAGTGGGAGAAGGAGTCTCCCAGGAGGAGAGCCCAGCAGCCATACTGCTTTGGTTTGTAATGACATGTGATCACAGACTACGGGACAGCTGGGACTGTACTTGGATGGGAGACCTCCAGGAAAAGCCCTGGTGCTGTAGGAAGTGGTGCTGGT